GGTGGGTCGGAAAGAAGGTCTCTGGGGGGCGTATCTCGGAGGAGGTGCAGCAGCAGGCGAGGCAAAAGGAGTCCCCGGTGGTGAGCGAGCTGCTGGTGGCCGCCAGGAGAGGCCTCACGGAGCGAGTCGTGCAGCTCATGCAAGAAGACCCAAACAACGCTGCACTCACGGACAAGATATTGCCGGTTTCTCTAGTTTATAGTTGATTTTGCACTCTGTAGTTCGTTGAAAAAGGGGGAGGATCTGCAAGGTGTAGCTAGCTTTTTGCGATCCTCTTTCTCTTGCAGCACGGACGTAACTGTTTGCATCTGGCTTGTATTTCTGGTCATCTCCGCACTGCTCTAGCCATCCTCCAGTCTGGATTTATACCGATTGACTCTGTGACAAAGGTATGCAAAACACTACTTATACTACGTAGCCAAGCTAGAAGTAGCGTTAGATGCTGTTAGTTTGTAATGTTTTGCGTTTGTTGTTGTTTTATCTGGCTGCTGGCTTATGCCTTCAGTCCATCAGCACAGTCTATGCATGTACTTCACCTTTTTTGTTCTCCAATTCTCGTTTTCCACCGCCTGTGTTGTAAAGCATAATAATAATAATAATAATAATAATCATTATTGCCTTTCATGAATTGTGGGATTGTGAGCCATCACCCTGTGTTGTGCACATTTTACGCATGCACAGGTGGGAGTTGCTACTTTCGTGATAGCTAAATGGTCTGCCACTGCACTTGCTATCTTCATTGTGTCACTTGTTCTGTCCACGAAACACCCTTGTGATTGTTGTGTCTCTTAGAAATAACAGATTAATGTTAGGGGGTGTCTGATTCCTTATTTTTCTTACATCTGCTTTGATTGGGGGTGTCGTGGTGGGGGGTGGGTGGTGGCGAGGGGGTGGGATAAACTATAGGTGAAAGACCATGAGTACAGTAAACATTACCTGTGACAGTTGACAAAAACGTCTGGGTGGGGGTTGGGGTGGGGGGGGGGTGCGGGGGGGGGGTGGGTGGGGAGCTTAACATCTTAGCTCTTGGTTGCCAAAATCGTCCTGATAGACCCACAATTACTATAGCTCTAGAAGTGTGAGGAGCCGCCGCTTGCCGCCGCCCGCGCCCCGCGCGCAGCCAACTACCCTGTTCAACCCCGCCCCTCTATCACAGTTCCGTTGTTTGGAAGCATTTCTTTTGTCCACTTGCAAATGCTATACACAAACAGTATTATGGGTTTTGGTCTCTATTAAAGCCCTTACTAATATTTTGACCTATTTAAAATATTTTACATACATCATTTCTGTTATTGGATTGCACTTCAGAGAGATGCGCAGAAACATATTTGGTACGTCAATCCGCGATTAACCTTCCATATATTATACTAGTGGAAATGTTGAACATTGTTGGAGAGCGGGAGCGACCCAACTTAAAATTTGCCTGCGCTGCATAAGCGCACAGCTTTCTTTTCGTGAAGCAAGACAGATCTACCAGTCGCCGTTACATGCGTATTGTACATTGGCAGAACGGTGAGCAGGTGAGCAGAACGGTACTACTACTTACGCTTTCAGCTCGGTGGTGGTGTACCAGATGCAGCACGAGCAATCCTAGCGTCTTTGCAAGTTGCACCTTGGAACCATGAGGATTGGGAAGAGGTATATACAGCTTCGGTCAGTTACCCAAGGTTCCAGCGCATTCCGTCCAATGGAGGAGAGTTCTCTCGCTGGCTAGATCGATCGGCGCATAGCGCGAGGCACTGAAGCGCGTACAAAGCCGCGCATGCGCACTTACACGACGTACGAACGCATATATCAGAAAATTCCGCTGGAACGAACGACTAGGTTGGCTCACTCGCCAAATTATTGCCGTTTTTCAGACACCACCAGGCATAAATCTTGTGCTATAGTTTGCGTCATATAGCCCTCTGTCCACAGTGAGAGGTTGCTGTAGTTAGCTATGGCTGCTGGAAATGTTCTCTGGAAGTTTTTGCCGCGGTCACTTATGACATCGCTACGTTCTTCCGCTAGTGAGACAACGACTGAGTGTGCGTATAAGCGGTCAATGACTATGAAGTTGAATATACTCCGAGAACGTCTGACAAACCCAACGCGATTTCAGCACATTGCCGAAAGAGAAGAACGAAGCATTTTCTCTGACGACGCCGTACAAGCTATCATCAATGGAAAATATTTTAGTTTTTATCGCGGCATCGACATGCTCAAAGGTCCCGAAGATATGTCCATCTTGTATCAAATGTTCTGGCATGTGAGGCCACGGACTGTGATAGAGCTTGGGGCGTTCACTGGAGCCTCGGCTCTGTGGATGGCTGATTCCTTGAACGGAGCCGACATCGAGTGCAATGTGTTTTCAGTTGACATCGATCTCTCTCTCCTTCACCCCAAAATTGACTCTCTCCGACCTCCTAACCTGTCTTTTATTGAGGGTGACTGCTACAAAATTGAAAAGGTGTTTCCGTCCAAATTTCTTGAAAAGCAACCTCATCCATTCATCGTAATTGATGATGCTCATGTAAATTTTGTCGAGGTCATGGATCATTTTCACCGCCACCTTATCCAAGGTGACTACATAGTTTGCGAGGACACAAATTCTGGCCGGCCAGCTGTGCCGTTGACTTCTTGCGACGACTCCGCTGTTGGGCTAGAAAAATTACACATTTGGAAGCAGTTTCTGACAAAGTATGGTGATATGTATGCAGTTGACTCTTTCTTTTCAGATTACTTTGGCTACAATGCCTCGAGTAACTGGAATGGTTATGTTAGACGAATGAAGTGAGATATAACTATAATGAAAAGCACTGAAGTGCAAACCCTCGGCGCATTGTGACGCGCACGCGTGAGTAAACGCATGCGCTGTATCACTAATTGATGGGCTGGGTTTAGTTCTGGCCTGGTCTCTAGCCATCTCGCACAGAGTCTGACGCGGGCTAACTACACTACTAGACAGCATGCGAGAGGCGATACACGCCCTGCGTTCATCTTCTGGTGCCTCCGAGGTCGCAGAGCACGCGGATCGATCAGACCGCGGTAAGCCATCCGTCCGTTGCGTATTTGCATATTGGCTTTTTCGTGCTCTAGCTTTGCAACGGAGCATTTTCAGAGAAAACCGTCTTTATTTTCTGACCTTCGTCGCCCGTTGGGTAGATGGTATCGTTTCTGGGACGAACAGACGTTCGAGAAGTGAGATGTAGAGTAACAGACAGACACACACACACACAGACAAACCCAATGAAAAGCACTAAAGTGCAAACCCTCGGCGAAGTAGCTCGCAGAGAGTCTGACACGGGCTAGCTACAGTAGTAGATAGCACGCGAGAGTCGATACACGCCATTCGTTGTGACTTCTTGTGCCTTCAAGATAGGCAGAGCAAGCGGACCCGGTCGAGGTAAGCCTGTGCTAAATATAAGCGCATGCGCATTATCCCCCAGCGATAAAATGGCGACTACCGGCAATAGCCGTACAATAGTGGAAGCGCTCTAGCTCTGCAACGGAGCATTTTCAGAGAAAACCGCCTTTATTTTCTGACTTTCGTCGCCCGTTGGGTAGATGGTATCGTTTCTGGGACGAACAGACATTCGAGAGGTGAGATTGAGAGTAACAGACAGACAGACAGACAAACCCAACTACAGTAACCCTCGCTGCGCATGCGCGCCGAGGGTTAATGATCAGAATATTGTGCAAGCATAGTGGGCAAGCGCAGGTGAAGGGGTTGGGTGTCGGCATAGGCCACTCACCAGTGGATGCGAGAAGGTAGAGAAAATCCAGTATGGGAAATTTATTAGATTTTTACTCTAAGAACCATGATCCACAGGTGATGAACATTAATATATAGCCTGTTGATAAGTCACACATGTCATCGTGTGTCCGTATACTATCTAGCCTGCATTCTCCTTGTGTGTCACTTGCCTGACTAAGATATCCCTCTGCATTCGAAGTCTATCACCTTAGTTTCTACAGTAACCCTATAGCGAGTGTTTCGGTTCTTTCTTTCAGGGTTTAGTAAACAAAGGCCTCGCGAGAATAGGGGGAAAAATTTTTTTGGTAGTTAAATACACAGTACGCTATATATAAATAAGCCATTCTGTACAATCTTCTATGGCTAGGTTATTTCTTTTCATGTGCAAGCCTCTTTGTTTACTATCTTGTACTCCCCCTCTTCCCTTTGTTCTCTTTGGCACTACCACCTTCATGTGATTACTTTGTAAGCTTCCCGAGTAGCTCTTGTCCACAAGCATTTCTATATGATTTTACCAAACCTTTGTTGTACATACCACTGAATGACGAACAGAGTATTGTGTGGTACTTTTAAGTGGCCAGACGAAAGTACAGATTGTTAGCGTTGGCATCAAGCCCACTTCACCAGCAGTAGTAAAGTCTCCCTGTACAGTAGCAGTAATAAGTCTCCCTGCCTGTACTGTCTCATCTTTTAAAGATCAGTTATTGTGTTACGGCATTCACTAGCATTCATGCTAACTGTCATTGCCCACCATCATAGAAAGAAAAAAGCCAAAGCAATGTGACAGCAGGGCAGATCAAAGAAAGGAGGGGGAGTGGATGAGTTTGGCTTCAGGCCAAAGAACAAGTTGGTAGCAGCAGCCACCTGATATGCCCCAATTGCTGTTTAAACTAAGTCGGCTGGTTTTTTATGAGTTTGAGGGGGCTATGATTCTCAACATGCCCATAATGTACAACATTACGGTATACTGTAATTGTGGATCAGGTTCGTTGCAAAGGAGATGCACTGAGGCTTATACAGTAGCATACATGTTGCCATGTTTTTCAAGAAACCTTGTCCAGGAGTGTAACTTCTCCAAATGACTGACTTAGATCATGATTTATGTCCTCAAGCATAATGTACTAGGGATGAGGTGTCCACGAAAGTAATGCAGAATGTTGTCAGAGTTTTCATGAGCAAAATCGACAATTATTAGTGTATGCCCGCATCGCGCTCGAGCGACATTTGGTCGTGCCGCGCGTGCGCAAAGCTCGGGGGATGGATCTGAGGTGGTGGTGCTGACACTGACACAACCGTACCGCGTACCGAGGGGGCGCGGAGGACGGTGTCGTCGTGCATCGATCACATTGCAGGCCACTGGTTATACAGATGGGGTATTGAGTAAGTATATACCTTCACTGGGCGTGCTGGGTAAACTGATGAAGAGGAGGGCCAACGTGTACGGAGAGATGACACATGCCTCCAGCCCACCATCCTCACCCTCGGCCCCTAGCCCCGACCTCCGAAACCCCTCTCTGCTTGAGGTATGTATGCACGGAGAGAAACTTAGTGGTAATGTGGGCGCGCCCGTTAGTCGTTTTACCTCCCGATTTTTATTACATCCCCTGGCCCATTCCTCATTCACTGAGTCGCCCGCCACTCACGAATGTATGAATTCGGATGAATTTTTTCAGTGTTTGGTTCAACACAGCCTTCCCAGATGTGTAGCTAGCACCACGAACAGAGTGCAGATCGTAGTTCATTACACACTCATCGCAACACGGCAGATAGGCTCTCCTGCAGGTTGTACTTTCTCACAAAGAGGCTGGTTGTTGGTACATAAGTGTGTGTGTGTGTGTGTGATGGGAGGGAGTGTGCCGACTGGTCAGGTGGTGAAGGACAAGGACCTGGAGGAGGAGAGGCAGCGCTGGGTGGAGTGGCTGGAGGACGAGGGAGTCCCTGACGAGGACAAACGAAAGGAGCTCTGCTCACGCGATGGGAAGGGGTGGACCGTCCTACATCACGCTGCCAGACACGGCTCCACTAAAGTCTTGAGCTGTGCTGCTGACATCGATGGAGGTCAGGCCCTAACTAACAGTGTAGAGTGTAACTGTAACGGGGCAACACTCAGAAGTCTATATAATTATAGCAGTTTAAGAGCGGCCCTGGGTGGAGCCTGGACCTGAACACAAAAGACCTGCACACACAGTACTAATGCAGAGTATATAGGTGGTTGTACATGACTCTATTTAGTCCATTGTATAGGAGTCTCTCTCTCTCTGTAATAAACATTCACTTTCCATAGGCTTATCACAGTTCAAACACGCACATTTATAGACAGTTATGTGTACAATTATATAGACACACCCTTTTCTTAGAGGTGTTATGAAATTTTATTAGGCTAGCACACAATTTTATAATAGCACATACAGAGGTAACCAGGGGTTATCTTTTGTTCTGATCTTGCTAGTGGACATGAATGTGAGGACGTATGAGGACCAGTTGTCACCCCTGCTGGTGGCCGCACGGTACAGTGTCAAGAACTCTATTCTGGAGATGATGAGTCTGAGGGACAAGGTCCTCACCTCTGCCGTGTCGGCCGACGGGCAGAACGCCCTCCACCTGGTGGTTCAGAACCAGCAGTGTGGCACCAGCCTCGACGTAAGTTTAAGAGTGTTCGTATGTGTATACGCCATTTGAGCAATTTTAATGCGTTCCGTATCATCTTATTAATGGTTTTGGTGTGTGAGCAAACCCTTTAAGTTTTTGCCCAATGTATGATATTTTACCTGATCAAAAACTGGTTCACTACTAATGCTTAGATAGTCATATCCATGTGTATTCCTCTCTAAAATGGCTATGAATACCCACTTAACCCCCCAGAGAACACCTTGTATCCACATAAGTAAAGATCTGTGTCTGTAGTGTACAGTATGTGGTAGGTGTGTGCAATGTAGTGTTAACTGAACTCTCATTTTTTGCCTGATCTCTCTCCCGTCCCATCTCTTCCCTCCACCCCCTCACTCCAGGCTCTGCTGAGGCAGTTGGATCGTAAGTTGTGGTGTGCAGAGGACAGCAGAGGGGACACACCACTCCATGTGGCGGCCTTTCACGGGAACTGTGTGGCCCTTCAGCAGGGCTTCTTCAAGAGAGACATCTGGCTCCTGGTAGAGAATGAGGAGGAGGAAAAGGAGGAGGGGGAGGGAGAGCAGGAAGGGGAGGGAGAGGGAGGGTCTGATGTTGAAGTGTCTAAAGGAGGGGCAATCAGAAGATGGTGCACAACATAAGAAGGTAATAATTATTTCAAAGGACGACGTATGTACATTCACTATTGCTCGCTATAATATACAAAAATTCCATTAAAAATGTTGAACTTGACTTCAGTCACTGACTGCCTTGTTGCAGCAGAAAATGTGGTAGTGGTGGCAGACACACACAGAGAATAGGCACAAGTAGTGCATGTATCCCTGTACAGAAAATTTTTTTCCTGGAATTGACAATCTGTGGTAATACTTTTCATAACGTGTGTATATACCACGTCCTGTTAACCTCTTCCCCAATCCCACACCACAGGGACGAGACGAGCATGACGAGGAGGGAGCTCCCCACGGTAGTCTCTGGGTCTACGACCAGTTGAACAGCATGATACTTGCCACTAACAAGCAGGGGCAGACCCCTCTCCACCTCGCTGCTCAGAACGGCCATGACAGGTTAGGCTCTTCACTCTTCAATTCGAGTACAAATTTATCATTCCTGGAATCATAAGGTCATAATTATGACGAGTCCTAGGATTTTTTGTGCAATGCCACTGGCAGTGTACCGAACACTGTATAATTGCTCATCTAGTGATAGTACAAAAGTCTGGAGTCTGTGATTTACTTTAGGGAAAGACAGTTATTTGCTGAACAAAGTTCCCCATTCCTGTAGTACACACACTGTGATATCAGCTGTATCTCTTAAGGTGTGGCATGTGTAGGTATATAGATTAGTAGTGAAAGGCTATTTGGAAACGAGACACTTACATTGATGTCACACCTCATTTTGCTTGCCCAATGCCCGGTATTGTGTGGGGTCGAGAGAGTAAGTAAGACAACCTCCCTCTACTGGATATGTCATGATTGCATTCATGTATGTTTAATGACACATCTCAGGTCACGCACATATGATAATGAGAAAGAGGGGCTACTCCCTACATAGTAGAGACTCCAGTGACATGAGTGAACTACAGTGGAACCTCTGATAAGGGACCCTCCGAGATTGGGACGACCTCTCTACAAGGGACACTTGTTTCAACCCCATGCTAATACTATTTGACCTCTGAAATAGGGACGACCTCTCTACAAGGGACAATACCGAAAGCCCCATTGTGTCCCTTGTCCAGAGGTTCCACTGTAGATGTAGTGTACAGACAGTGGCAGTGATAGCACAAGACACACGAGGTGAGGTATTATACCAGAATATACCCAGAACTAGTGGTAGCATCTAGCATTGTTTGGTTATTCACGGTACCAGTTTGTGTATCTCCCTCCCTCCCTTCCTCAACTCCCTCAACTCCCTCCCTCCCTCCGTCCCTCCCTCCCTCCATTACCTCCCCTCCCTCCACTGCAGAGTGGTGGGATTGCTGATAGACAAGTGTCGGGACGTAGTCAAGGTCCGAGACGGGGAGGGGAACATGGCGCTCCATCTGGCCTGCCGCAGAGGTCACCTAGAGGTCGCCAAGGAGATCCTCGAGTTGGAACCTACCACTGTCGGCACCAAATACACGTACGTTTTGTGCATCATACAACGGAAATTGTGTACTTTACCTACTGATGTGTGTGTGTGTGCGTGCACAGTGGCTACCCCTGTGTAATACCCCTGTGTAATCAATGGACATTTGTGTTTCTTTTGTGCTTGGGAGATTTGGTCCTCCACTGTAATTACAGTTTGTGTGGGTATTGAGGTGTTGTCACTTCAGTAACCAGTAACCAACTTCCTTGTACCCAGTTATCATAACCTTAACCCCTGGCCCTAAGATTGTCTGTGTACAATGTGGAACTGATGTGTATAATATGGCTCTGTGTATACATACATAATGTGCTGCAGGAACCGGAAGGGAGAGACTCCGGTCCACTGTGCAGCCTACAACAGTGGAGACAGTGGTCCTCTCGTCGAGTACCTCATGGAAGTCTGTGAGAGGGTCGGCAGTATCGACACTCACGAGATCCTCAGCCTCCACGAGAAGGAAGCGAGGGTAATTCAAAACTAATTATTATACAGACGTGACATTATTCTCTTCCCCCCATTCAAGCAGGACGGCATTTACAGTACTTTTAGGGTGAACCTCTACCTTAGCAAGTTATATTTTTTTGAAATGCCCAACAGTATAGCAAACTGCCTCAATTCTATGACATACCAATTCCATAAGGATTTCAAAAGACTTGTGGACACTCTTCCCTTCCTACTATTTCCTCCTCCTGCTCCACCAGCACACTCCCCTGATGCTGGCCTGCACCAAAGGGAGGCCGGAGGTGGTGAAGGTCCTCCTCCAGTACGGAGCCGACGTGACTCAGAGAGAGAAGGAGATGGAGACAGCCCCTGGCCATGAGCCAGAGGAACAGGAGACACTCAACAGTCTGGAGCTGGCCATTGAGAACGGTCGAAGGTACGTAGGTACATGCACTTGCCAAGGAAATGTAGCACACAATAATTCAGTAAAATAGTGATACATAGATACCACCTTATGAGTGACACAAACGTCACACTGCTGCAGTACGTAGTATATATGCACTACGTGGAAGAGTGGGAGAAGAGTTAAAGGCCTTAAAATGTGTGGCTATGGAGTATAATGCGAACAAAGCCAATGACACTTTTGAAGAGGCTAATCCGGTTAAAAGTCTCTCATTAGTAAATAATCCTAATGTGCAGTATTGCTTTTGCTTCCTCCAAGCTAGCCTACTGTGGTTAGAATTTTGCAATACTGCAGCAAATTACTCATCCCAAAATACAAATATTTACCCACTCACAAACTTTCTAATCGCGAGGCTTACACAATGGAAAAGTTTCCCCGCTAACCAGTTGTGTTAAACGTTGTTGGTTGAGGTTTTGCCCGGTGTCCCCCTACACCAGGGAGGTGGCGAAGGTGATAATGGACAGTGGTGAGTGGATGAGGAGTCTGAGGACCAGCAACGTCATTGACAGAGTGGCCAACACTCCCTTCAGGAGAATGATCAGGAAGATGCCAGGTCTGTGCCTTCTCACTTGAAGGAATGTAATCCTCCTTGTAGCAACATTTTTGGAAGATGCCAGGTCTGGCATTGCTCACACAGTCTTTACTTGTAATCCTCCTTGTTGCAACATTTTAAGTGCCTTCAACATCTCTAGTATACATGTACCTTGTACATCACCTTCCTTATACCTGTATACAAAGTACATTAGTATATTTACTGAAAGGACCCATAATTTAGAAGAAAATGTACATAACTCTGTTAAAGGACACTTTGTTGTAATCATCAGTGTATACCTCAGAAAAACCTCAGAAAATGGACTCCCCAAAATTTAGAGGCTTTTACGTAGTCTGCCCCACTTTTCAGTATTTCATTCGTTGTGTGACTCTTACTCTTGTGTACGACTGCAGACCTCGCTCAAATAGTGTTGGACAAGTGTACCCACGAGAAGAACGACCGAGATGATGTCGGCTTTCAAATGTCATTCGACTATGAATTTGTTGAGGATTTTTACGTCGAGAGACCGAGTGAGGAGACCACACCCCCAACAGGTGGGATTCGTTTCTCTGGAGGTAGGCGGGGGTCGTGGGAGGGTGTGCCACCGGGGATGAGGAGGAGGAGGAGGGGAGAGGGGGAGGCCGGAGAGACGGCGGTAGTGGAACTGACGGACGTGACTGTAGTGGAGGAAGGAAAGGCTGAGGAGGAGGAGGAGAAAGACTATGAAATGAGCAGATTGGCTCAAACTGATGAAGATGGATACGTGGTCCTCACTGGCTCACCCCCACCACTGTCAGTTGTACATTACACACGTTAATAGTTGTTCCACTTGTTGCGTGTTGTTTGTTATATAGGAAGGATGAGTGGAAGCCCAGGGAGTATGACAAGAGGAACCATGTCCTCAGCATTATGGTCAGTGTCTCTCACTCAAACCACAGCCCCAGAAATACCAACATATTGTCTTAAAGATGTTTGTCACCTTTTCATAACCTGTATGAGATGATCTAATACTTCTAGGAGTTGCCTGTACCAGTAATATTCGCTGCTGCAATATTGGGCTCTAACCTTTGAACCATACAGTTTTCTATGTGACCTACATATGTATAGTGACAACCTGAAAGCCTAGAGAGGAGGTCACCTCTTTCACATGGAATGTGTGTGTGCTTGTGACTAAACTCTGTGACTAACGCTAATTTTGCTTAAGTATTTTTCACGACTACTAGTTACGTCGTACCATGCCATGGACAGCATTCACACAAACCAAAGATTGCTTCAATGCAATTCGCAACTTATTTGGCGAAGTTAAACAGTTTTGTTGAAACTGTGTGCAGGTGGACCACAATCGCAGCGAGCTCCTGCGCCACCCTCTGGTGACCAGCCTCCTCAACCACAAGTGGAGCCAGTTTGGAGCCTGGATCTACTTTGCCAACCTCCTCTTCTACCTCGTCTTCATCTTCTTCCTCACCGCTTTTGGTCTCACCGTCCCCAACCCTCAGAGCAACATCTGTAAGATTCTTGTCAGGCTCATTTGTACCTAACAATACTGGAGTGTTTCTTGCCAAGTTAGGTTGATTTAGCATGCTAATAGCTGGAATATGACTAGCATTATTAACCCTTGCAGCGTCAGACTCTCCTATAGTGGGAGACCACGAGTAAACACATACTACTAATAGCCCACTAATAGCCCACTAATAGCCCACTAATAGCCCAGCCCATCAATTAGCGGTACCGCCCATGCGCAGTTCGTCGAGGGTTTGCACTTTAGTGCTTTGTGACTGTAAGTAGTAATGTATATCAGGGGAACTTTCTAAGACTGTGTAGAACATAGTGGTATCCTTATTTGGAGGTCAAATAATGTAATGCAGTTGTAGGAAGCAAGTGTCCTTTATTTTGAACTGTCCATTATGAGAGGTCACACTAATGTGTATCTTCGTACACTTTTGTTGGTCTGTGTAGGTGCAACTACAAGAAACAGCACATCATGTGGTAAGTCAGACAATTATGCACACAAGTGGTAGACACAAGTTTCAAACTACACTGCTGTGTATATAATATTACAGTTGACACTACACACATTTATTGCCAATCTCTGTGTGTGTTAACCCTCCCAGACATCTCAACAGCAAGGCGGAACTTTCTCTACCTGGCTGTGCTGGTGACCATCCTGCTGTCAGGTGCCCGGCTGGTAGTGGAGGTGTTCCAGCTGCTCCACTGGACACAGAGCAAGAGGCGCAACATCTGCGGGAACAGATACAAACTCTACGTCAACTGGGAGTACTGGCTGGACTGGAGCAACTACCTGGAGATCATGCTCTACTCGTTCTCCGTCACGTTTGTGGTGGTGTTTGACGACTGTTTCTGTCCGACCGACACCCAGTGGCAGATCGGGACCGTGGCCGTGTTCTTTGCCTGGATCGACCTCCTCCTGTTCCTCTACAAGCTGCCCAAGATTGGGATCTACGTGGGGATGATGCTGCAGATCACACGGCGGTTCCTGAACGTGGTCGTGATTGCCATTCTTCTCTCACTGGCCTTTGGCTTGGCCTTCTACATGGCCTTTTATGAGCCATCCATACCAGTCGGTTCACCTTCTTTTCATGCTCACTAACTTAGAGCGAATGTGGCAGTAGATAAGGGCTTAATTTGGAGATAATAATTGCATTCTTTCACTGGGCCTTTTTTTCTCAATCTTAACTCTTGCATGCCCTTTTAATTAATGGTGCTACATACTTTGATGCTGAACTGGTTGGCTAAAGACAAAGTTCACAAAGCCTTTTTTATGTTTGTACTCATGCTTAATGTTGCTATGTATGTTCATTCACTCTTCAGGCTTCCCCATTTGCCAACCCGGCCCTGTCGTTTGTGAAGCTGATGGTAATGACTGCGGGGGGACCAGACGACGCTATCTTCAGGTACGAGAACGAGGGGAGTGGAGAACGAGATGTTCTGCCATTCCCAGGGGTGGCCTTCTTCATCTGGATCATCTTCATCGTCATCATGGCCATCCTGTTTGTCAACTTCCTGGTCAGTTGACTAGCCACCTCTCCTGGTGATTTTCTGGTGTCTCCAACGGATTTAGTTTCTCTTTGTCTTGGTGTTAATCTAGTTCCTCTGTCAGTCTATTGGCCTGTCTGTCTGTCTGTCTGTCTGTTTGTCTGACTGACTGACTGACTGACTGACTGACTGACCCTGTCGCTCTTGCTATGTAGGTTGGTTTGGCAGTAGATGATGTGAAACAGATTCAACAGAGTGCCACTCTCAGGAGACTCTCCCTCAAGGTGAAAATCCGTGAAATCTATGTTGTCTAGGGTGTGTATCGACTCCCGCATGCTATCTACTACTGTAGCTAGCTCGTGTCAGACTCTCCACGAGCTATTAGCAGTAATTACCACGCATAAGCAGTGCTTTTCATCATGTGTATACAGTATTGAACCTTCCTCACTCAAGTATTGGGTGTGGCCTGATGGATAAAGAAGTGCAGACTTGATCCTGAGGTCCATGGTTCGATCCCAAGTCTAGGTCTTTTTTTAATGATGTATATATGAGTGTTTATATAAGGGGAACGTTTTTCCATCACTCTCTCGTGGCCAGCCCAAGTGGCTAAGTGGTTAGAGACGTGGGGACTGTCACATAAGGTGCCCGGTTTGAATCCCGGACCGCACTGAAACTGACAGGTGGTCCAGAGCATTGGCTGGGAACAGCTCTTGTTCCTCCCCTTACCCACGAATCTACCACTGACCCACATACATCTCAAAGGACAGCGTATAGAGCGTCCATAGATGTCTGTCTGGAGTGATGTGGGACTGGCCCATTATGTTTTTTTCCCATTCAGTTGTCTTTTTTAAAATGCATGGCCAGTATTTTGTACGAAGCCTCTCAACATAACTCTTTCAGATTGCCCATTACTATTTTTTCAACCTTTATTTTTGCCTAAAACGACCCATGGAAAGATGAAACAGTGCGAAACTAGTTTAATTTTTTATGTGTGACCAGTATTGTAAGAAGCCTCTCAACAACTTTTTCGGGCATATTGCCCTCTGTACATTCTACTTTTGTAATAATGTCAGAAAAAGTAGTGCCACAAAACTTCCACTCTTCAGGTTGAGTTTGTGCGTAATGTTGACTATAGGAATGGAGATTATCCACTTGCAAGTGCTTCCATTAAACCCTCGGCGCACATACACAGCGAAGGTTCATGTACTATAGACACTAGCAACAATGCATAGCCAAGCCTATATATCATTAGCGGTACCGTGCATGTTTATAGGTTCGACATTTCTATATAGTGCGCCGAGGGTTTGTAGTTAGTGCTTTTCATTTGACTAGTTGCAAATGCACAACGACACTATTAAAACCATGCTCAAGTGTGTCATTTGTGTGCTTGGAGATTTTGTACTCCATGGCAACTAAATGCTGGCCATGTACGTACGAGTTACACTGTGATATTATACTGTGTGTATGTATGTGTTTCTATAACACTCTTTGCCCTTCCCCTCCTCCTAATTTGTATATATCCCACAGGTGGATCTGGTACTGAGTACAGAGCAGGCTCTTCCATTTCTCCGGCAGCACAAGAGGTTTTCCATCAGGCGGCACGCGGTGTACCCCAACGAGAGACTCAGCTGGCACAGGAGACTGTGGAAGAAGGTCTACTCCCTGGTCTGGGACGATGACCTCTCCGACAGCATCCAGGCCTCTCTCAACCCTGACGAGGTATGTACGTTTACAGCAGACATACTTTAGAAGTTTACTAAAAACGGAACTTAATTGCATTCTTTCGCTGTGCCCTTATTGTTTTGTTTTATCTTTAGTAACATTTCTATATTCATCACCTTGCATTCCAGTTGAGCAGTAGAGTAAACAATCAGAAGTTTTCTTGTGTGTCCATAGGCATAACTTCTCTGTGTATATAGCTAAAAGGTACACATGGTGGCTACAGTATATGCAAGCAACCACATGGAAAGTGGTATATATATACTTCAGCTGAACTGCGCATTTATCAAGCCTTTTCTAGAACTATTCAGTGGCAGATCCAGGGGGTTCCTTGGGTTCCGTGGAACCCCCCTTTTTATCGTTTTGCGCGCATGCGTCGCCGGCCTCGTGCGCACGCACACGAACGCAGTCAAAAATGCTCTGGACAGCGGAACCCCCCCTTTCAAAATGCTAGATCCGCCACTGTTATTGTGGGTAGGTTTGTGGGAATGCAATGTGATACTGAATCAGTACATTATCTGTATGTATCTTACCCACCCCATTTATCCGTCTGGCCATGTTGTGTAGGACACAGATTTCAAGGTTGACAGTCTGCAGAGGGTAGTGGAGCAGCTTGTGGCAAAGAGTCACTCCCAGGAGAGGATGTTGATGGACGTCCTACAGGAGCTGAGGAAACAAAACAAGCAGCAGACGTAAAAATGGCAATAATATTATGCCTTGTAGATTGAAGTTGTAGGTTAGTGTTTTTAATCATACACAGTATAGCCAAAGATACTGAATGTCATTCTCTCAATGATGTTAAATGAAAAGGTAACTTGTTCCATTGCGAGCAGGTATTTGGCACAAATACTATGAGTATGTACGGGAGAAAGGTTGTGTTAAACACCCAGCAGCTCCACTGCATCGAATTGGTGGCAGAAGTGGAGCAGCTAGCTATAGCACTGCATGAAACTAAAGTATAGTTTTGCTAGACTTCTGTTGATCATCAATGCATCGCTACCACCTCTGTGTCATGCTCACTAGTGTAAGGCTAAAAGGAGTCATCGGACCACGTTCAATTCAGATGAGAAAAACTGTGGAAAGGCCTTGGTTAGAGTCTGGTTCACAATAGACTATCTCACAGCTCCAGTGAAGTACGTATAGCTACACAGGAAAGTGAGGTTCAAGTTTAGCTGCATGTCTAGTAATGCAGTCCTGAACTCAATTCATTTGCTTGGGCTGCCTCCAAACAGAAACGTGTGGCTAGGAGGACCTCAAAGCTAAGTGTTGTTCATAGAAAGGTGTTGGTTATTCTTCCGTATGCACACAAAGTAAATGGCGGATACCCATGCAGCCACACCTGCATAAACAACGGTGTGTACTAGGCTTCCCCCAAGAGCCTGTAGGTGTACAGTGTACCAGGCTAGGCTGCCACTATTGATCATGCTTTCCTGGAACGAGCATTTTTGCATGGGTATTGTCGTGGTGCATCTTGGGTGACTTCACTGTCACATACATGAAAGACGATGTTGCCTAGAGTGTAACTACCCTGAATAGAGGTCAGGGGATATATGAATTGAAGGTGGGGGCTCGTCAATAGGTAAACAACAGAAAACTGACAAGGAAACTGTATTCTCTTACCACCTGTACTCACACTAGTCTTGCATGTCTTCCTTGGAGAGTTGCAATACTGTTTCAGGTATAATACAAAAGAATGCAGTTTCCTTGTCGGTTCATTGTCATCTGTTATTTACTTGTACGGTCTGAAACGTAATATATACCACTAGTACACATTAGCTCTTCCGACTACAGACATTGAGCTACCCAAATTACTTGTGGGTAGAGTGTTCTACCGGCCGACGCAGGGCAGCTTTTGTCCAGCCAGGCAAGCCACTCTTTTTTCATGCCAAAAATTAATACAGAAAGGATGGTGGTACAAAACATCAGTTTTAGAAAGAAGGAGACAAGGAGTTGTGTATCATTTCACTCGAGAATCGACATCATTCTGGATTGAAGTTGTAGGTTAGTGTTTTTAATCGTACACAGTAGCCAAAGTTGGTAGATGGTGTATATATACTGAAAGTCATTCTCTCAAGGATGTTAAATCCTCCAGCAGCTCCACTGCATTAAATTGGTGGCAAAAGTGGAGCAGCTAGCTATAGCACTGCAAAGTGTACTGCATGTGGATCGAGCACACACCGACGCTCTTGGATCTATAAACATCATGGAAAGTTTTGCTGGATCATCAATGCATCGCTACCATGTCTGTGTCATGCAAGGAGGTTCAGAACCAGAAGCTCTGGGGAATGATTTAATGATTATCAGTTTTGTACACTCGAGGCACATTCTCCTATATATACAATGTGAATACTCTTGTGTGGGAGCAAGGCTGCATAGCTACGAGATAGGCTTACTTCTAAAAGGGTCAACCTGCAAAGAGCGTATAGCTAACAACTAAGAGATTACACTGAATCCTAGTATATATATATTATAGCTATAATATAGCTATGGCATGTACAGCTCTCTAGGAATGAAAAGCACTGAAGTGCAAACCCTCGGCGGATTGCGCATGCGCGATACTGCTAATTGATGGGCTGGGCTAGCTATTAGTATATGCGTTTACTCCTGATCTCTATAGCGCGCGGAGAGTCTACGGTAGTAGATATAGCATGCGGGAGTCGATACATGCCGTTCGTTGTGACTTCCTGAGCCTCCAGTGTACACAGAGCGAGCGGATCAGGTCGCAGTATCAATAGATGACATTCCTCTGGTGTATTGTCAATGGTGAGAATCAACAAGAATTATACATTTGGCATCCGAGTATGCTGTTTCAACTTCATGTATATACGAGTTCTGAAGCATACCAATGTATTGTACCTACTTGAACTCTGGTGAAAACCCCAAGAAGCTTAAAACTAGTGTCTGATAAACAATGTCACAGTGCATAATTAACCCTCGGCGCGCATGCGCAGCGAGGGTTACAGTACTTGTTCTGTCCGTCTGTCCGTCTGTCCGTCTGTCGTCCGTCCACGTTTTCTGCCACCACGCGCGACAAACAGGTAAAATAGCGACACCAACGGGTTCAGCGCTACACCCGCTTCATTTTTAAAATGCCGAATTTTGTAAAAGTGCCGCGTTCAGAAGTTGTGGCATGAAAACCAAGTGAACAAGCCAATATGCAAATTAGCACAGGCTTACCTCGACCGGGTCCGCTTGCTCTGTGTACCTTGGAGGCACAAGAAGTCACAACGAAGGGCGTTTATCGACTCCCGCATGCTATCTACTACTGTAGCTAGCCCGTGTCAGACTCTTCGCGAGTAAACGCATACTGTAATTATACAAATAGCCCAGCCCATCAATTAGCGGTACCGCGCATGCGCAGTTCGCCGAGGGTTTGCACTTTAGTGCTTTTCATTATGCGCAGTAGGAAGTTACTGTGTGACATAAAAAGGTATCTATGTGTACACAACATAATTAATTTTGTGGAAGCACGCAAGGTAGTTGACGAGTATTAGGCAGGAAAAGTAATATAATTACCAATAATGTGTGGCGAACGGCGTCTGGCGCTCCAGCCGGCGCAATTCCTCTGCAGCAGCTCTCCGCTGTCTCGACCGGCGGAGCTTCACTCTTGACAGAAATCTTATGCCGAATGCTAATCCTAACTCTTACACACACCCAATTTATAGTCACGGCATTATGTGTCGTTCTATATACCTAATTACAGCAATGGTATGTGAACATGGCTACTCCATTGTATAAACACAGACAAGAAGTCTAACAGGACTTGTATATACAGTTGTGGCCGCCGAGTCCAGGTGTCACATCTGCATGCATCAGTGGGCAAGTGCATGCCGAGATTAATTTTCTACATTCATACCTCAACCTTCCTTGTAGATTGACTAAGTTCAATTAACTAGCTATCTCAAATATGACACAGTAAAGTATAGGTACAGCAGTAAACATTAATAGTGAGCTTAGGAGGTTTTGAAGGCAGGCAGCTGTCTCAAATCGTTTGAAGCACTTGGTGTCACTGATTTCATTTACTGTACACTTGCTTTGCTGTCATACCTCAGTTTCAGTTGCAGAGACTATGTAGAAAGACACAACTTATGTGATTCTAAATCCCATGAGGGAAATGAATGATGCTGCTCATTCCACACACATTGCAACCTGTGGAGTGTAGGGTGTGCCTGAAAGTGACCCAGCCTAGTCACAGGAATCTTCACTTTTACGTGATGCTCCTGTGTGTAGCTGACTAGACAAAAGAGCATGAAACATACATTGGACCCCACCTGTGTTTGTGCAGGAGGAAAAACATGTTGTAAGTAGTAATGGCTACAAGGATATGAAATCTAAAAGAGAAGGAAAGAGAGTTGTGTGTGTGAGTTTGGGGAGAGTTTTATGTATGTGTCGAATCTGGTGAACCACTCTTTTTGTGGATCAGTCCGGCAAAGTTTCAAAAGCTTCTATAACGTACCCATATTCTGGCAGCGAAGAACTTTAACACACGTACGGCATATTCATAAGTACTATTTATGTAGTAGCTGGTTGTATAGTACTATGCTAGCTGGGGAAATAAAGTAAGTGAAATTCTTTTACTGTAGTGGCTATAGTGCTAGCTTCACGTTGAACAAGGGTGACATAGCAGAATTGTTGTGGGTTAATATTGCTTGTGTTAAAGGCTGCGAATGGACTGACTTAGCAACTCAGTATTGTGTGTGTACACTTTACTAGTATCGCATTCCGCCGTTGCGATCCTCACTCGCCCACGTACATTTTCATAGATATATAGCGGACTGAGATCCTACATTGCTATAGCCAGGGAATCAAGTAGTAAGACCTGTGGTACTTACCCGATAGCTGAGTGTCATGCAGACGACTCTTTTATTCGTGATGTGCAGCGCGTTGCTGCCGCTCCTGTCTACGGCAGAGGTGGAGTTCATGTTCGAAACCACCAGGTCTGATGTAGTACGGGACGAAAGAGACGGTGGAAGAATTCGTGGAATCCGCAACCGCGAGAACAAGACGTTCGTATTGGGTGCCCTCTTTCCACTTCACCTCCACTCTCCCAACTCGGAGGGTCCTCCGTGCGGGGAGCCGCGGAAGGCTCGAGGGGCGGAGAGGGTTGAAGCGGTATTGTACGCAATCGACATCATAAACGCAGATTCGAACTTGCTTCCTGGCGTTGAACTGGGCTACGACATCCGAGACACTTGTCTCAGTGAAACGGTGGGACTAGACGAGGCCATTGACCTCATTATAACAGGGAGCGACCTCGTCATCGAGAGCTGCGATGTAACCGGCGGCGCTGCAAACTCGACGGCGTACGCCGTTGCCCCCACGTCCGGAATAATCGGGGCTGCAGGGAGCAGGGTTTCGGTCCCCATCGCTTCACTAGGCCGCCTCTTTGAAACGCCGCAGATCAGTTACGCGTCTACAAGCCCGCTTCTGAGCGACCGCACGCGGTACAGCTACTTCTCGTCGCACCGTCCCACCGGACGACCTACAAGTGTCTAGCAATAATCGATATCCTCAAACAATACAGTTGGAACTACGTCTCCATTCTGCACTCAGAAGACACGTACGGCTCCTCAGGCATCAACGAGTTCGTCAATGTATCGGCCGAGAACAGGATTTGCATCGATCTCCGTCGCGGGATTCCACCGTCTTTTTCCGGTAACGACTTCGACAATCTTGTTGCGGATCTTGGCAACTCTCGGGCAAACGTCATGGTATTCTTTGCCACGCAAGATTCCGTGAGGGAAGTCCTGACGCGAGTCAACGCAAACGATACCCTCAGAAGGAAATTCACGTGGATAGCAAGCGACGGCTGGGCCCACTCCATCGACGTGATCCACCTGTTCAATGATACGGCCGTCGGTGTATTTGGAGTAACTCCACTCACGGAATACTTAGGTGATTTTGACGACTACCTCTCTAAGCTAACACTAAACTCCAACAAGCGCAACGACTTTTTCCCCGAGTTCTTTGCTGCCTTTGCCAACTGCACGCTGGGAGACGACTGTGACAACAATACCAACATCACCAGCTTCCCACAATACCAGCAAGATAGCTTCATACCACTAGTCATCGATGCAGTCTATGCTTTTGCTCACGCTTTGCACAACTTTCTGGTGGATAACTGCAACGCGACAGAATCTGCTCCATTTCTGTGGCTCAATGAGAGTGGAAGATGCTTGGGACAGTCTCGAGAGCTAAATGGTAGTTCCTTACTGGAATACCTCGACAAAGTCAACTTCAAAAGCATCACAAGTAACACAGTCTTTTTCTCTGAATCAGGGAGTGTACTGGGCTCTTATGAGGTTCTTAACTATCAGGCTTCCTTCTCTAGTACCGGGGACATAACTGGCTACCAGTTAAGGACTGTTGGGTCCTGGGTTAATGGAGAACTAACAATTATTGTTGATGACACGGAATTGCAGTTTGGACTGAACAGTGATGACAGTTTAAGAAGAGAGCCAATTGAATCCCAGTGTGGTGGATGTAGTCCAGGCATGTACATCAGGGAAATCCCCGGGGCATGCTGTGCTATATGTGAGCCTTGTCTTGGAGCAAACTATTCGTCTGAGCCTAGTTCAAAGCAATGCAATACCTGTCTCAGTACAGGAGACATGTGGGGAAACAATCCATTTTCGGGTAGCAACAGCTGTGTCACAATTCCTGAGACCTCAGCCATGTACAGTGACCCCTGGGCCATCCCCAGCCTCATTATCGCCTGCATTGGAGTCTTGTGTGTGGCTGCCACTGCTGTCATCTTCGGAGTTTACTGGAAAACACCAGTCATCAAGTCTTCTAGTCGTGAGCAGATGATCCTCCTCCTGATTGGTGTATCCTGCAGCTTCATTCTCCCCTTCTTCTATGTGGCCCCTCCCTCCATCCCCATCTGCCTGGTGAATCGACTGGGGATCTGGTTCTGCTACTCTCTCATGTTTGCTGCACTAGCCGTCAAGGCCCAGAGAGTTGCCAGGATATTCTATGGAGTGAAACGAAACATCCACTACAAACCTCGGTTTGCAACTCCCATCTATCAAGTCATCTTCACATTGATAATAGTCGCCATTCAGATGATACCAATAATCATCTCTGTGGCTATTGTTCATCCTGATGTGCTGCGTACATTGCGCTATGACCGGGACAGTGAAGGTCGTCTCGGGCTGCCAGAGGTCGTCATCACTTGCAGGAGGGAAAAATTGCCGTTATAGTACTGTCACTGGTCTATGAAACCTGCATTATTGCAGTTGCCACTATTCTCGGAGTCTTTAGTTTCAAATTCCCGAAAAACTTCAACGAAGCAAAGTACATATCGTTCTGTACTTTCTCTCTGCTTGTGGTGTGGGTGGGACTCATACCAACTTACTTCACAACAGAGTCCCAACCAGAGATCCAGAATGCTGCCATCTCCCTGTTCATCACCATGAGTGCTTTCGGAGTTCTGTGCTTCATCTTCGGACCAAAGCTGTTTATTGTCGTCTTTCGTCCTGATAAGAACTACGCCACCACCCAACACACAAAGAAAGACACAGAGAATGGGACCCAGGAGAAACAGTCCCATCTGTCAACATCAAAGTTTGAGTCTGATTAAAGACGTCACACAGTTGCAATCAGTTGTAGTGACAATAAGTTTTGTTTACGTTTTTACTCCCTTGACGTGAGTTAGTAAAATCATCATTATAATAGCTACATGCTTGCTTTTCATGTGTGATACATTAACTTGTACCACAGCACTTCGACTTATATAATTATTCTTATCCCAATGTCCTTTTACGTATGAAGTCCCATATGATTAGAGTGTGTGTAGACACTGTATATACGGGTCAAATCTCACGTGATCGACGTACAAAACGCCACAGAACTCTGCGAGAATGACTGTCTATTGCTTCAAAATCACTAGCATTGAGATCTTGCTATAAATACGCCAAAATACGTTATATGTGCCCCCCCCCCCAGTCCTAGACTAACACCCATGCATGAAGAACACACTTTACCTCGCCCAACATACCGACTCTAATACAGTAACATGAGTCTTGTTGCAGGCTTCACAAAATGTCACTCAGTCTGATGTGACCTATACACTTCCACAAACCGGAGAATAATATAACTACACTTCCACAAACCATTGACTATACAAGATGTCACTATATGTGACCCGCTACGGGAAAACGTACATTTTCGCGCAAAATGTATTGCTGAGATACGGGTGAAAATAGCTGAAACTTGGTCCCTCGGGATTATGACACAGGAAAAAACTATAGCCTTTCCTCTACCTTTTCGCGCTGGAGCGATGTTCGTGCGCCGCTCCTGCCGCTCACAGCGTCCTCACAAAAACGCACGGTCCAGCCCAGAATTCGTGCACGGTGCGCGTGAAACGATAAATGTGCGGAGCGCGTTTACCAACAATTACGGGTTACCAAGGAAACTCTCCAGACAAACAACATGGCTTCACCAGCTGATACTGCGACCAGAGACGTAGCGCTTTGCTATCATGATTGAGAGGGGAGAGCCATAAAGTGGGGCTAAAACTTGGCCTGTGACATGACATGTTGTTATTTACAGTGATTTTGTGCAAGTGCTCTGTCAAATGGTCATACCGTATATACAACATGGAGATATGTGCACATTATAATATATATTATAATAGTGGTGCCCATAATTATGCTGAATATTGGCGAGTGAAGCGAACTCTCCAAACACACGAAAAACTGAACTGCTCGTTTTGCTTTCCAAAATTCCTCTACATTCCTCTGTAAGAGTTGCAGTTTACAACTAGCCATACCAAGTTGTCTGATTTTCCTTTTCAGAGAGTCATTTTAAGCTAAAGCACGGTATCTCGTCAGCCCCAGGCATTTTTCAGCGTGTGATAGAGAGCATCCTACAGGGCACAGATAGTATCTTGATGACATCCTCATAACTGGTGCGTCCAAAGAGGCACATCTCAAGACACTAGAGGAAGTTTTGAGCCGTCTAGACAGGGCTGGGCTAAGGGTGAAAAAGTCCAAGTGTGAGTTCATGCATGAAGTCCTCTGTGACGTACATATAGGGTTGGCTCAGGCTCCTCGAATACCTTCGCTGGCTGTCCGGCAGTGGCAAGCGACATTAAGCATCGGTGTTTGCATGCGCTGTTGTGTTTCGAAATACCAGTCAATACTCATAGTTGGAAAGAAAGAAAGACCAACGTTTAATACGAGAGGATGCCTGCTGGGACATAGTCTTTCAGTAAACCCAGTAGAGCCTTGCGGTCTGTCACCAGCACAAACACATAATCGTGAAATTTCTTTATGCCAAATATACAGGCAAGAACTTACTTTTCTAGCTGAGAATAATTTCTCTCGCTATATAGCTGTGAGCGTACGTGATGCTAAAATACTCTCGTGACGTCACTTGTACTTCATTTCCATTTCCAATTTTTAGCTAAGTAGCGTATATACTCCCTTACTGTGTGCAGACTGTTAGACTGTGTTACTTATCAATATGTCAATGCGTGCGTGTTGAACCCACTAGGACACAACAGGGAGGAGGGGGGAGAGGGAGGAGAAGACCCTGTGACCAAGACGAGAATCATTAATTAGTGGTACTAGTGTCTCACAACTGTACACATCCTTCACTGCCATTGTTTTAACTATCCTTGATCCAGTTTTGCTTTTTGCTGGAACAATTCAGCAGAATTTGCCAAGTAGCTATGTCCGCTGTCGTATTGTGGTACTTTGATGACTAGCTACGCTTGATTATGTCAACAACCAAGATATTCAGGTAATAAACAGACACACGTAATATCAGTTAAGGTTAGAGTACAATGTTTCTATTGCTGCTTTAACTTTCCTTTTCCCAGTTCTCCACAGAGTGGCTCCTAATGCACGAATCTCCAAGTATCGTTTGTAATCTCCTTTTGGAACCTTCTTTCCCTCCACCACTTCCTCTTGTTCCCTGTTGTCGTAGGGAGCTTCCTCCAACATCTGTCCTTGGAACCTACTGACTACTTCATCTACTTCCCCTTTTGCTGTGGAAGTCTCAGGATGCTGTATATACGAAATATTGATTATGTGTTTCCTACAGTCCAATGCATGTGTTTCCTACAGTGAATCCAATGCATGTGTGGATACAGTGAATCCAATGCATGTGTTTCCTACAGTGAATCCAATGCATGTTTGGCAAACAAGCGTGAAAGCCAAAGCTGAAGCAAACGTTAATTTGTAGCCTCATTCCCAGGCCTCCAACGATGCGTGTATGTTTATGCGACGTGACTTTTGCACTGTCCTGTGTGTGCCATGCGTCACGTGAACGTACACATAGTGCAGAAGGCCAGGGAAAGAGGTTAGGTACCCTGGTAGCTTAGTTGGTAGAGTGTTTGCCTAGAGAGCAGAGTGTCGTGGGTTCAAGTCCCACCTAGGGCAGCTCTTCCTTTTTCCAGGAAAAAAGAGTTGTCCTGGGTGTAGTTGACTTGTTTGCTTTGCCCTTGCCATTCTATCTCACCCTGATGCAATGTGCATCATCCACTGTGATACTTGCAACACTTTGAGACATGGGTATGTATGGCAGGATGAAGCTATGTCTTACCTCCACATCAGTGGTGCTATCTGGCTGCCCCCAGTGGTTTAGTTCATTGCACACATCAGGAAACTCATTAGCAGATGCAACACCCAATGCTGTCACACCCGCCTACAGTGGTGACGGATAATTAGATAATAATAACTATATTATTGACGTATTTGACAAGTGAAGGGAGCAGTTAGATTTTCCCAGCGTTTTACGCGTAATTATAATCACGCGTAACGTTACAGTATGTGCAGTGGCCGACATTACATAATGAAAATTCCACATTCAGACGACTAGGCAGGCGAGTGAAGTTATGAGTGTAGCTCACCGAATTCCTGATCAGTGGGTCAGCTCCATGTTCCATTAGGACCTTCACTGTGTCCAGATGACCTCCCTTGCAGGCAAACATCAGAGCTGTGTATCCAGTATTCTATGGAGGACAGATGTACTATTGAACCCATCGAGTAGGATAACATGTGATATGTCAAGCACAGCACAGTGCAAGCTATCACAATGGGTACATTATTTTCTACTTTAACACACTGTGATAGCTACTCAACTGATTGCTGGAGGTTAGGGTTAGCTTGAGAGTCAAGTAGCAGTTTTGCCATCTCTGATTTTCCTTGTTCACAACACATCATCAGAGGAGAGAGTCCTCCCTGCACACAAACCACACATACAAACAACCTCTAATGTCACATGTGTTACTATCACACCTGCTCCATTTGGTTCACATCAGCATTAGCTTGTACCAAATCTCTGGCCATTGCCAGGTTTTTGTGTCTTACAGCCTGCAGCAGTGGAGTCTGTCCACGCTGGAGGAGATAATAAGAGTCAGAAGTGCAGTTAGAGAGTTAGTATATAGGATTACGTTATTGCAGCCATTTGGGTAAGCACCAGCTCTCAGGAGGACAGAAGCTGTGGTCAAGTCATTGTTCAGACAGGCTAGCAACAGTGCTGTGTCATTGTACTGCAGTAAGAACACCATCATTGTACTCCTTGCAACAATAACCAATCCCATAATACCTTCTTGGTAATAAGGTCTACTGTGGCTCCATGTTGTAATAACCTGTCCACCACCTCCACATGTCCATGCTGAGAAGCTATTATCAGTGAACTCCTCCCATCCTAATCAAACATTACACTGTAGCTGATGATGGGCTCAGTATCGAGAGTGGTAAGAAATAATTAGCAAATTTGTGAGGCAAACTGCTGCACACCCGCTGCTACGTAGCTCTGTATAATTATGGTTGGCTATCTGACTATGAGTCTTTTTAAGGTTTCTTGTCTCACATTGAGTTGTGAATATCCATACACCATACGATGCTCCCTATATACATCCTCTTGTGATCAAGTCATATCTTTTGTTGGTGGAGGGGGAAAATGTATTGCCCCGCCCAAATATCGTGTGCATCCATATCTTGTCTAGTTCATGAAACTACTCCCCAATGTGAAACACGTAAATTGACAACTATGAACAGCAAAATCTGTCACCTGAAATGTTTAACACCGTTTGGATATTACCAGATATTGAAGATCAACTGTGGCTCCATGTTGTAATAACTTGTCCACCACCTCCATATGTCCATTCCGAGATGCAGTCATCAGTGAACTCCACCCATTCTGACGTGACACACAGAGTAGTAGATAATGAATTTGACAAAGAACGGTTTTTATTCAGTATCCATGATAAGCCAATCTCAATCGTAGTTTTATCATCTTATAGAGAGTATTATCATGCCATGCTAAACCTGACACTGAAATCGTACTTTTGCATTGAGTAGACATGATTATAACCTTTCTCATGTGGTCACTTACATTTACTCATTAACCCTCGGCGGCGCGCATGCGCAGCGAGGGTTACAGTACCTGTCCGTCTGTTACCACATTTTCTGCCTGCACCACGCGCAACAAACAGGCAAGATAGCGACACCAACTGGTTCAGCGCTACACTGGCTTCATTTAAAAATGTCGATTATCGTAAAAGTGCCGCGTTCAGAAGTTATGGTGTGAAAACCAAAGTGAATGAAAGCGCAACCCTTGGCAAACTGCGCATGCGCGGTACCGCTAATTGATGGGCTGTGCACTCAGAGGCGGCCACGTGAATCATATATATACCAATTAGCGCGTTGGTGAATGCTTCTGAATGCACGACCTTCGACGACCTATGTTTAGTTTGTTGACGGAGAATTCGACCACACAGAGAGTTGTAAAAAGGATCAAGGTAAGGTACTGTGCATTTAGCTTGACTCTAGGGCTCACGCTGTGAGTGTGACGGAGTTCTTTGTATTCTTCACTACAACTTGCTGAGCGGTAGGGGATCGCTGGGGATAATAAGATTCTCCCCATGTTTTTTACACATTAAATCGAGTCAGTTGCAAATCCTCTCCGAATCCAGTTGGTTTTGCTACAGCACGCTCTTTTATCTCCCCATATATTCATGTCCGACCTCCTCTATTGTAGTAGTACACGTTTACTCGTGGTCTCCCGCTAGGACACGGGCAGGCTACAGTAGTAGATAGCATGCGGGAGTCGATACATGCCCTTCGTTGTGTCTCATGTGCCTTCAAGATACACAGAGCAAGCGGACCCGGGCGAGGTAAGCCTGTAGCATATTGCTTGTTCACTTGCTTTAGAACGCTTATATTTACGATAATCGGCATTTTAAAAATGAAGGCAGTGTAGCGCTGAATCGCTATTTTACCTGTTTGTCGCGCGTGGTGGCAGAAAATGTGGTAACGGATGGACAGACCAACTAACCATCTAGCGCATGCGCACCGAGGGTTAACAAGCAAATTAGCTAAGTATACTTAGACCACGTCTGCTTGTTCTGTGGATGTTGAAGGCACAATAAGTCGCAACAAACAACGTGTATCGACTCCCGCATGCTATCTACTACTGTAGCTAACCCGTGTCAGACTCTCCGTGAGCTACTAGCGGGAGACCGGGACTCCACGAGTAAACACATACTATTATAGCCCAACCTATCGATTAGCGGTACCACGCATACTCAGTTCGCCGAGGGTTTGCACTTTAGTGCTTTTCATTGTTTTGCATATACCTTATCTTGAAGATCAACTGTGGCTCCATGTTGTATTAACTTGTCCACCACCTCCACATGTCCATCCAGAGATGCAGCCATCAGTGAACTCCACCCATTCTGACGTGACACACAGAGTATATAGCTAGTAGGTAATGAATTTGGCACAAAACGGTTTTGATTCAGTATCCATGATAAGCCAATCTGAATCGTAGTTTCAGTTGGTTTTCACGCCATAAGTCTGGAACGTAGTACTTTTAAGCAATTCGCAAAATTTAAAATCAAGCTCTGAACCTATTGGTATCGCACTTTTTTGCCCTGTTGTGAGTGGTGGCAGAAAACGTGTAACAGACGGACAAACCATAGATAATGATCCTAATCGCGACTACATAATGTAAAGCTGTGGTGAGCGGAGCTATAACCATGGGGATTTTCGGGTAAAAAAGAGGCTTCTCAAGCAATGAAGCCACATATTTCTATATTTTGAAAATGATGGATGCTACATGTATAATAATTATGTAACTGATAAAACGGAATGCAATCTGCTGTGTTGCTGATCACGCAACTGACCTAGACGACAGACTTTTTCAGAGAGTTCATAGTATGAAGTACCCTTCACCTCACTGTTCTGAGATTACGTTTTGTACACACGTTTGCGTATGTACATAATTATAGTGTGTGTATATACCTCTTTTTGCAGGTCTACTGTGGCTCCATGTTGTAATAACTTGTCCACCACCTCCACATGTCCATTCTCAGATGCATACATCAGCGAACTCCTCCCATACTGACGTGACAAACAGAGTATGTGATTATCAAGAGTGTCAGTAGATGCTCTATAATTATTATATGTAGGAATGCCCACGTGACCTGCCTATAAAACACAGGCTCACTCCAAATATACATTATACTGTTGTCTTACACTAATCCGACAATCAACTGGCACTCCAGCTCCCAGAGCGCAATCCAATGACTTTATATCCCCATCATATGCAGCATTGAGAAGATCCATCTCCTGTGTATATATACATGGGCACCAGGCACACAATCCATACAGTGTTTCACTTACATTTAAATGAAGAATGATAATCTCCCTTCCTCTCACAAAAAATTTTCTAATACCCTCCTGTGCCATTGCAGTGTAATGAGAGAGGAAAATGGACACATCACCAAAAGTATTGTAGTGCCAGTGAAGAGTGAGTGGATTTAGGGTGTGGCCATCATACACCAGATTACCAGTGGGGATACGGAGTAGGGAGCTGGTGAGGCTGTGTATGGTGTTGTACTGTGCTCTTGTGAGGGTAGAACCCTCCAATTGAGCAGTGACGAGGCGGCTATCTGGAGAAGGAGGAGAGGGCTCGGTACTTGACTCTCCAGAGATCATGACTTTATCTTCCTCTTGTTGGTGGGAGACTGCCTCACCCTTCAGGAGACTCTGGAACTCTGAGAATGAAGGACCTTGACTGATATATGTATAATGTTTTAGGAACTCACTGTTACGGAGTCTCTCTGAAACATGTAACTGTCCCGCATTAGCCAAAGCCATACAGAATGTTGGGAACCTCCCCACAACTATATTCTTAGCGTTTTGGAGTGCCTCTACTATTATATGTACTTTCTCTAGTTGACTGCTCTTTGCCCAAACTTCTTCTCCTTGTGGCTGTGTCAGCAGCCTTCGTCGCACCATGTGTGGCACTACTTCATCTGGTGACATCTCCTCCAACAGGTAGCTGTAATTGGTATCAATAGCCTGAATCTGTAGTCGAATCACCTTGTACTCCAACTGCATGGCTGTAAATGAGTAAAGTATAAACTAACTATACATGTACAATAGAACATACTATACCAAAAGAGGAGTCGTAGACGATGAATCCGTCAATGGTGAGAGTGGTGACGTGATGCTCCATCATGCTGTGACTGCTGGGCTTGACAGAGTTCTGGATGTAGGTCACCAGAGAACGAGGAACCCGCCATGTCACCTCCACACACCCTCGAGCCACTTTCACGAGGTTGAGGGAGAAGTCATACAAGGACAGCTCCCGGCAGACTTGAATGCGAAACTTCTCAACATCTTCCAGTGTAGCGGTTCTCCAGTCCATTTGGTGCTTACTTACCATCGTGGTAAACCTTCCGTTGATATCTTCTGGCTCATCGGCACAAACCTCTGAAAATATCTCAAGCCTTGTTTCCTTCCTGAAACCCGTTCGTCTTCTCGGCATAGTTTGCCATTTTACTTTTCAAGTCCTGACTCCCGTAGAGATCAACGACATACTTCAACAGAGTGTAGTGGAGATAGTCATAGTGTTCGCCAATAACATCAATTATATCCTCAGCTGATTCAGCTTGTTTTATTTCGGCTTTCACTTTAGTAACAAACCTTCTATGCTCCTTTTTGAGATTAGATGGAAGACAGAGGAGGGAGTAGCACAACTTTTTAACTGCAACACTGTTGCTAAATTCTTCAGCAGCACAAACGGAGATATCGATGTATTCTTTCTGCAACTGATCGATCTTCTCTCTCGTCTCGGTGATTTCTTTATCTATTAGAGTAACCAAAAACATTATGTTATTCTTTAAGCTAGAATAGCCACACAGAAGGGGACAAAAGGTCTCTTTGTATACCCCAAGAGGAGGTATATACAGCGGCATTACTTAGTGGCCGTCTTTTGTATAGTATGATAGTGGTGCTCTTGTGCAGGTTGTAACTAAGTAACAAGTAAGATATTAGGTATTGCCATGGGGGCAGGAGGAAGCAGCCCCACCCCAACCCCCCTCCCCCAAAGATATCAGCACTCCACATCGTTAGACAGAAAGATTCATAGCGTTATGGCCCGTTGTATAAACCTCGATTACTGCCCTCTCCTCCTCCATTCTGCCTCCTCTCATTCTCTATTCTCATTTCCCCTCCCCCACCCTCCATCCGAACCTTTCCCTTCCCTCCTCATCCCTGCTGACTCCCTCAATCTTTTCACCACCTCCCCACCTCCTCACTCCCCATCACCTCTCTTCCCTCACTCACTGTCCTTCTCCTCTCACCCTCCTCTTCCCTTGACCACTCTCCCTCTGCCCCACCTCCCTCCTTCTCTCACTTCCTCTCCCCCTCCCCCTCCCTCCCTCTCTCCTTCTTTCCTCTCTTCCCCCTCTCTCCCCTCCTCCTGCCTCCTCTCTCTCCGCTCTTCTTCTCCCCTCCCCTCCCCTCCTCTTCTCTCCTTCCCTCCTCACCACCTTCTTCCTTCGACCCTCTTCCTTCCTCCTTCTCCCTTCTCCCTCCTACACTCCTCCCTTCCTCTATTCCTTTCCCTTCTCTCTCCTACCTCCCTCCGCTCCCACTCCCTCTCTCCCTCTTCTTCCCCTCTGCCTCTCTTCCTCTCTCCTCTTTCCCTTCCCCTCTCCTCCCCTCTTCTCTCTCTCCTCTCTTTCTTCCTACCTCCCTCCTCTCTGCCTCCCCTCTCCCCTCACCCTTGCCATTCCTTTAGATCGATCTTCTCTCTCGTCTCGGTGATTTCTTTATCTATTAGAGTAACCAAAAACATTATGTTATTCTTTAAGCTAGAATAGCCACACAGAAGGGGACAAAAGGTCTCTTTGTATACCCCAAGAGGAGGTATATACAGCGGCATTACTTAGTGGCCGTCTTTTGTATAGTATGATAGTGGTGCTCTTGTGCAGGTTGTAACTAAGTAACAAGTAAGATATTAGGTATTGCCATGGGGGCAGGAGGAAGCAGCCCCACCCCAACCCCCCTCCCCCAAAGATATCAGCACTCCACATCGTTAGACAGAAAGATTCATAGCGTTATGGCCCGTTGTATAAACCTCGATTACTGCCCTGACTCTATTAGAGGGAAAACAAATCTGTCAGCCGTAAGGCATTCTCATGAATAAGTAATAATCCTTCTCCTCACTGATGGGGTTTCTTTTGCAAGAGAGATATTTTTTCGAGCGCCAAAAGGGTCACAATAAATATTATTGACCAAAATGAAATAATGAAATGAATTAGCTACACATTATACGAACATGCATATTATAATGGACGCAAAAAGAGTGCATGCCCTCCTGTCCTGTGTGAGGCTTGTTTACTCTACTCTAGTAACCATGCATTGTGCTTTTCCAAGTAATTCCTATATAATTATGATGACTGAGAGTAAGATCAAAGGATTCCAGCTAGTCCAAACAAGGTAGATGTTTAGTGACTAGTATGGGCTTCCTCCTGAGTGTACAGGTAGGTATACCATAAAGAGGCCTTATAATTTCCCCATACTTTAGCTGTATGCCAACTATTTGCATAAACCACTGTGGGTGTATATAATGTGGTTATAAAGATAGCAACTATTTATTTAGAATTAGAGGAGTTTACACAGCTGCCAAAACATGATAGCCACAAAACAGGGTAATCGGTGACTCTCAGCTTTCTTGCTACTGTAACACGCTGCATTCAAGGTCGCTGGGCATGGTGGGAGACAAAAACAAGCCAGGCAGCTATAAAACTTACGCGTGGGATCCAGCGGCCAAAACATAGCTTTGACATACCTATAACGTTGAACGCTCGAGAAATAACAGTTGCTTATCAGTGAAAACCGAGCATACGAGAGCGCTAGGTATGGCGGGTGACAAAAACAAGCCAGAGGGGCAGCTATAAAACTTACGCGTTGGGTCCAGCAGCGAAAAAAGTAGCTTTGACGTACTCGTCGTTGCTTATGAGTCAAAACTGCGCAGTTGGACTAAACTAAAGCGATTATCGCAGCCGTCTCTCTTTGCCAGCTATTATCTCTCCGCATTTTTAGGCGTGGCGCACCACGTGCCACCATCGTATAACATCTTTTGTATATCACATCTATGTTACCTAACTGCATTCCAGGTGTAACAGGTTTACACATCCTCAGCAACAATAAAAAAAATCCAGCAGCTTATTAAAACTGGCCAATGATCAATAATTGATGTAATTCCAACTTGTACACATGACACCTCCAATTAATGCAATTAAACCCATCAAACTGTATATAGAGGCACAACCACATTTTACTTTATATCATGTAGAAACAGAATGAGAGGAAACTCATTAAAGTATGATAGCTAACGAGATGTCAACAAAACATTCCTCCTCTGGTCAGCCATAGCTACCCATCTTAGTACTCAAATTGGACACATACAGTGTGCTTCATCCCACGACACAGTCAAAAGACTGTGAAAACTACATCAAGCCCAAGCAATGCAGTGAGTATAAATTGAAGTTGTATTTTGCACTAATAACATAATATTATATACCGACCAACCATCCAGCTTTTTGCTTGAAATTGCCAAATCCTCATTTTTTCTGCTTACCTGTGATGCACCGTGCCTATACTTTTTGAATGGACACACACAGCATTTTCAAGCAAAAATACTCCAAATCAAGCAAATTTGACACATTTCTCAAGCAAAGGTTCATCTGCAGGTTGGTAGGTACGTAATAATTATCATTATAGCTACTGTGCGATAAACCTTGGACTCCTCCGCTAATAGATGAGATATTCACGGGTGAGATATTAGCTGCCCCTGCTGCACTTTGCTCTGCTGGTTGTACCACAACTGCACAATGAATGAAATAACTTAATATGGAAAAACACACGGAGATTACCTACTTATTATAGCTACGTACCAATTGGTAATTTCCCTGTGAGTTTGTTAGCAACACTGGGCATATCAACAGTAGGATGATTAAGAGCATCGTAGAGATCTCTCCAGGTGCATGGCTCCATCCTCTTCAACCTGGTCTTGATCATGAGGTTGAACTTGTCATCCAGACCAAACCCTGGCTCGGAATTGATGCAATCGAGATCAAAGACCCCCAGTTTGAGTCGGGTCCCGATGTTGTGCCATTTTGATCTGGCCTCCCACAGAGCCTCTTGGACTTGGGCAAAGTCATCAATACCCAACTGTAGATATAAGATAAACCCTCGTACTACAAGCCACACAACAAACAGCATACTAGCTATTATACAAGGACCAAAACGAGCCCCACACAATACTGTTTATAGCTAATTGCCAACACAAAAACAACTTATAACCTGATCAGACATTCGTGGGTCTGGAGCCGGCAGATTATCGCCTCCTCACTTGACACGCGGTGCTCAGAGTGCAGATCGTGGACTTGGTGACGTTGAAGTTCACCTATAGCGGAAACCCTAGAGGCTCGCCAAGTCCGTGTAGAAAGGCCTGGGGAGGAACAGTCAAAGTTTGGATCCTGACTGCACGTTGGCGATCATGGAATGTAATTTAGGAGCTGTTGTGGTGCCGAGGGGTTGCGTTGCAGAGGGGTTGCGTTGCAGCTATATAGCTCTCTAGGCATTCCATCGCCACGGGTTTGCAGAACGAGTCTACTAGCTCTATTGAAAGAAGCGCCAGGGGCCTGTCCGATAATCGGAGGATGTTTTTGCGCAAAAAAAAGGCGTGCCCTGAAGTCAGGAAAAGCTAACGAAGCTCGTATTTACATGTTTTGTAGAAGGAAGGTAGGCCTAGTTGCTGACTCGATTAGCTTGCTGTCTTCTCGAATGCTAGCGCCGTGTCCGATATTTGGTATTATCGTCCGATGGTCGACACCAAGCGGGTGTAACGGCCGGATGCTTCGAGGCAGCAAATTGGTTTGTTCTCGGCTCTGGGGCGGTGTTGCGTGAGGTCAAAGGTCGCAATCCTGGAGGGCGCCCCGGCCGGCTTCATTACCAAGTCGCGTAAAACCGTGCCACTGTAAGAGCATCCAGACGGGGTTTTGCAAAACTCCCAATAAGCCTTTTCGTTTTAAAGTCCGCCCACTGAGCATGCGCCTTGAGGGCCCCCTGTAAGATGAGCATAGAGCCCTTCAACTGGGGATGACCCTTGCACGATACCTCCAGCCAGTGCGTCCGGTCAAAGAAACGGGTCTGGACTATGCGCAGCGGAAATGTTGGCGTTGCCAATGAGGAATGCTTTGGCAAACCAGCGAGGCGAATAGCCAGACCGTCCGTGATTACTTGGCTTCCCTACTTCTCTTCTGGACTATATACCGCGCATGGTGTGCATGCGCACAGCATCAGCCACGCACAAGCTAAGGCGTGTGTGTAATTAAACCTCGGCGCGCATGGCATGCGCAGCGAGGGTTACAGTAGTTGGTTTGTCTGTGTCTGTCTGTCGACGCACTACAGCGATATACCAGCGTCTTCAGAACTACGCGAACCTAGTATCCGCATAACTTTTCTGGTATTTCACATAATAATGATCAATTAACAACAATACATTCCTCAACACTGTCTTGCTTCTCGCATTGCTCCCCCCATCCACCCACTACGATGATCTTGTCTAGTGATGAACTGGCTACTAAACTGTAGCTCCTGCATGCAGCCATGGAGGCAATCCTCACCCACCGTCCATCTACTAGCTGGTGTATGGGATTGACTGGTGACCTACGTATCTCGCACACCACCAATCAGTACCAGCTGTCCACCGAAAGTAGCAACCGTTGAATGTACCACTGGTAGAGGAGGGAGAGTTGTCCACAATATGAGGTGTGGCCT